AACTCTCTGTATTCATGGCACTTAATAACAACTTGGACCTCTCTAGTGCTTTAAGGTTTGCAAAGCACTTTACATCTATTATCCCATTTGATCCAACAACCCTGGGAAGCAGGTGCTGTTATTCAGAGGTAAAGTGACTTGCCCAGGGTCCTGGTCCTACAGCTAGTAATTGTCTGAGGCTGGATTTGAACTCAGGACTTTCTGACTCCAAACCCAAGGTTCTATCCACTGTTGTCACCTAGCTGCTGGAATTCTGGCAGAGAGATGAGAAGGAGAGATCAACATGGTTATTAGGGGAGAAACAGCTATGCATGCAGAGGCACAATGGGAAGAGGTCTTGTGGCTAGGAGGTCCGTAAAGGAGAATAATGTGAAATAATTCTGGGAAGATAGGAGCCAGGTTGAGAGGGCCTTTAAATGCCAGACAGAGGAATTTGTATCTTATTTTGTTGTTGTATCTTACTCAAGAGGCAATAGGGAGCCACTGAGGACTTCTGAGCAGGAAAGTGACATGGTCAGATTCCTGGCTTTGCCATTTTTACCACCTGCCTGGATTTGGGGACAAGTTACTTTACCTTTATGGGCCTCAATTCTCCAAGGAGGGGATTGAACCATGTAACTTCCCAACTCCAGAACTGTACCCCAATTATGATCCTGTGCTTTGAGAAGCTTATTTTGACTGGTGGGTGGGTGGGGGGAGAGAGAGAGAGAGAGAGAAACAGAAACACAAACAAACACATTTATTTATTAAGCATTTACTATGTGCCAGTTGCTACCCTGGGTGTTAGGGATACACAAACAAGCAAGCTTCTGCCTTCAAGAAGTTTACATTCTAATAGAGAATAGCGTGTGTGTTCGTGTGCACTCTAGTACCTGTTAATGAAAAACGCTTTGTGGCTGTCTAGGGTCTTGTAGGTGTTTTTCTTTTCTAGTTGGGTGATGTGTGTAGGGGGGGGGGGGGTGGGATTGTCACTGTGTCATGCTTGGTCATTTCCTGATCAGGAATATTCTAACCTCATTGCCAAGCCTAGCCCTGATAACTTGCCAGTTTTAAGGGTCACTTCTCAGCCTCAGTTTCTTCATTTGTAAAATGGAGATAATGATAACATCTACTTCCCAGGGTTTTAGTAGAGGTCAAATGAGATATTTGTAAAGCACTTCTTGATGTTGTCCTATATAAATGCTAATATTATTATTATTACTACTAAGATTCTGGGCCTCAGTTTCCTCCTTTGTAAGAAAAGGTTCAACTAAAGGACTTCTAGGATCCCTCTGAGCTCTTAAATCCAGCATCCTGTGTTTCTTCTTGGGCAAATGACCTTCACCTAGGATCTGTGAACATATTATTCTTTTTCTTTTTCTTTTTTTTTTATTATTTTTAGTTTTCAACATTCACTTCCACAAGATTTTGAGTTCCAAATTTTCACCCCATCTCGCCCCTCCCCTCACCCCAAGATGGCATGCATTCTGAATACCCCTTCTTCTAGTCTGCTTTCCCTGCTATCTCTCCCCCCTTCCCCTTCTATTTTCCTGTAGGCCAGGATGGATTTCTGTACCCCATTTCCTGTATTTCTTATTTCCCAGTTGCATGTGAAAACATTTTTTTTAGACGTGTGTTTTTAAAACTTTGGGTTCCAAATTTCTCCCTTCCTCCCTCCCCACCCACCCTCATGGACAAGGCAAGCAACTCAATATAGGCTATACATGTGCAGTTATGCAAAACACTTCCATGGTAGACATGCTGTGAAAAACTAACTCTATTTCCCTTAATCCTATCCTGCCCCCCCCCATTTATTCTATTCTTTCTTTTGACCCTGTCTCTCCTCAGAAGTATTTGCTTCTGATTACCCCCTTTCCCAATCTGCCGTCCTCTCTATCATCCCCCTACTCTCTTGTCCCCTTCCCCTACTATTTTCCTGTAGGGTAAGACAGATTTCCATACCCAATTGAGTGTGTATGTTATACCCTCCTTAAGTCAAATCCTATAAGAATAAGATTCACTTATTTCTTCTCACCTTCCCCTGGTTCCCCTCCACTGTAAGAGCCCTTTCTTTTCTGTTTTTTTGTGAGATAATTTACCCCGTTCTACCTTTCCCTTTCTCCTTCTCCTAGTATAATCCTTTCTCACCCCTTAATTTTATTCTCCAGATATGAACATATTCTTAAAAATTATTTTGCTTACTAGCTGTGTGACCCTGGGCAAGTCCCAATTGCCTCACCAAAAAGCAAAAAAAAAAAAAAAATTATTTTGGTAACTATTTCTACCTAATTGGTTTCTTTTGTAATCTGATGTATTTTACTCTATGCATTTAAAATCTTGATTTAAAATAAAATAAAATCTTGATTTTGACAAGGGGTCCTCAACAGACTGCCAAAAGGGGTCCAGGATAACAGCAAAGGTTAAGAAGCCTCTCCCTGCTCTAGGACTTGTAGTTACCTTCCTATCCTCCATAATCTCCAGGGTTTGAGAGCACCTTGGTTCCTTGGGAGCAAGCAGAGACTGACCAAGGATCTCTCTCCTAGTCTAGGGGATAGGGAGTGGTAGTAATCAGAGAATATTACCACCATGCTTCACTTGCAAAATCCTGGGCTGCCCCAGCCAACTTGGGGTGAGGGAGGAGGGAGGAGCCCCGGAGGTAGGGGCTTTGAAAGCAAAGGAGGGGTGGGGGTGGGAGGATGTTATTTGATCTTCAGGTGAAAGGAGGTTTTATAAATAGGTCACCTTGTTCTGCATCTTGAATTTTATCCTTTCCCAGCCTTTGTGGGGTAAACAATAGCTCGCCTGTTCTGGGGTCATTACAAGTCACTGGGAGGGCAGCTGGCTTGCAAGGCTGAATGGTCCCCTGCCTCGGAGCACCCCTGCATGTGGGCACCGCCCCTTGGGAGCACCTCCTTCCCCCACCCTCCACCGTTGCCAATAGTCACTTGGGAGCTTGGAGGTGGGGAGGGCACGGCAAGCCGCCCGGCCTATTTTTAATTATTTCGACCCAAGGATAAGTGGGGTTTTTGTTTTGTTTTGGTTTGTGGATTGTTTTTTTAAGTGCATTCTGGTAGTAGAGGTCGCTGAAGGTCACAGGCCTACACAGTGGAATCAGTGCTGCCTTTGCATTTAAACTGGGGTTCAGATCTCACTTTCAGACCCTTATTAGCTGAGTGATCCCAGGCAAATCAGGTCACCCCTGCGTCTCTGGTCTCCTCCTCTGTGAAACCAGAGGGCTGGACTCAAAAGCCCTTTATAGCTTTAAATCTGTGATTCTGTAAGTCCTCAAACTTCACTGGGCCTCAGTTTCCCCCTCTGTAAAATGTGGGTTGGATGAGGGGGCCTTCTGGCTCTGAGTCTGTCCTGGTAAAGATTCGTGGGACAAGCATCAGGCAAGGGTTGATAACGGAGGAGCATGGCAGAGTGGACAGAGGACTGGCCGTGGAGCCGAGACTCAGAAGATCTGGGTTCAGATGCGGACACACAGTGTATTTCCAGGCTGGGCAAGCCCCTTCTCAGTAGGAGCCTCAGAGAGCTCCCCAGGACTCAGCGGTTAAGTTAGAGGTGGTTGCTGGGTGATTATAGTCAGATTGAAAACTGATGCTTCTGTGACCTCATTCCCTCCACGGATCTATGCAGTCACTGACCAGGTCTTTCTGATTTCACTTCCACAGCATATCTCTTCTCCGTGCCCTTCTCACACTCACGTAGCCACCCCTTTGGTTCAGGCCTTCATGGCCTCTGCCCAGACTATTGCAGAGGCCTTCTCCCTGGCTTAAGTCTCTCCTCATTCCATTCTGTCCACTCAGAGGCCAAAGTGATCCCAGGTCTGACCTTTGAAAGCACTTCCCCACCTGGTCCCCTCCCACCTTTTCAGTCCCCTTAGGCACCCATGGCTTCCCTCCCTGCCAAACCAGCTGGTTTGCTCTTTCCGTCCCCAGGCCTTTTCACCGGCCATTCCCCCGTGCCAGGAAGGCACTCCCTTCTCCCCTTGCTATGTACTAGGCACAGTTCATAATAATAGTAATAGTAAATAGCTAACATTTACATGGCACTTACTGTATGCCAGGCACTAGGTCCCACTGACAATAATTGTCATATTATTATAATAATATAAGTAATGTATAATACTAGTTAACATTTACATAGTGCTTGTTATAGGCTAGGCATTAGACTAGACTCTCTTAATAGTAATAATAGCTAACATAGTAGTATGCTAAGCTCTTTACAAATATTATCTCATCTGATTCTCACAACAGCCCTGAGAGGGAGGTGCTATTATTATCCCCATTTTACAGATAAGAAAACTGAGGCAGACTTGCCTAGGGTCACACAACTAGTGTCTGAGGTTGGATTTGACCTCAGATCTTCCTGACTCCAGGCCCAGTGCTAAGCTTGAAGGAGCTTTCATTGGGATGAGGGACACAAGATGCTAGGGGGAGGGGCGCTCTGGTCTGGACTGGCACGGGAGTGGTTATCAGCGCCACAGGGCAGTGGACTGAGACCCACTCTTCCAGGAGCAGTGGTAGCTGTGATGGGGTGCCTAGGGCCTGAGGACTGGGGCATGGGGGGGATGGCAGGATATCGGGGTGGATGGTTGTACTTAGTTTGGGGAAGTCACTTCACCCTTAGGGGGGTAGACTAGATATCTGAGGTCCCTTCCAGTTAAAAACGACTTATTTCATTTGACCTTGATCCCCCAACGCCACTGCTATAGGCAAATGCTGCAGATATTATCCCCATTTTACAGATGAAGAAGTTGAGGCAAGAGAGGTAAACCTGATTTGCCCAGGGTCGCACAGCCAGCATCAGTACATGATGTGGAATTAGAACCCAGGTCTCCCTAATTCCCACGCCCAAAGGAAGCCTAGGGTTTTAGGGACAGGATTTCTATTTGGTGCCTTATTTGAGGCTTTAGTCAGTGATGCTTGAAGGTGTTTAAAATGAATGTGTCCCCTTCCCCCACCCCGGCCATCCCATGGCAGCATATCTCATATTTGGCTTTTTCTTTATTCCTTCAGGGTCGTCCACATCTTGGTCAGAGCCAGCGACTGAGGGGACTGGTGCTGAATCCCGGAACAGCCTGGGCTGGTGCTAGACAGGTAGGCCCCTAGCCTTTCTTTTCTGTGTCAGAGGATGGGGGCGTTGCCGTGTGGAACGCTAAGACACGGTCCAGTGTTCTCATTGGTGACCCTCAGCCTCCAGGGAAGGCCAGTGCCCCGTGGCATCGGGCAAATGAAAAATCTAGGTTTTAGGATGGAAATTGTTACAGGAAAAAATAAGAAAAACAGCCAGACTCTTAAATCATCCCTGCAGATTGTAACGTCTGTCACGAAAGTCTGCATGGCACGGTGGACAGAGTGCTTGGTGTGGCTGGCAGGACGAGCCTGGGCTCAGAAACGGCCTAGCTCTGTGACTCTGGGCAAGTCACTTAAATTCCCTTTGCATCTGTTGGCTCATCTGCAAAGTGGGGATGATAGCGATGCTTCACTTCCCTGAGTCAGTCAGTCGTTAAGCATTTATTAAGCACCTACTGTGTGCCACGGTGTTAAATTGCGGGGATGCACAGAAAGACAGAAGACAGTTCCGGCCTTCAAGGAGCTCCCAGTATAACATGCAATCAACCGCGTACACACAGGATAAGTAGAAGACATGCAAGGAAAGGCGGGAGGGTTGTTGTGAAGCACCATAGTGCACAGAGCACTGGACTTGGAGGCGTGAAGTCCTGAGTTCAAATCCAGCCTCAGACACTGACTAGCTGTATTATTCACTTCTCCTTATAGCACCAACCTCCCAGGCATTTTGTGAGGAACGAACAAAATCATGCATGTAAAGTGATCTTCAAACCTTAAAGTGCTACATAGATGTTTCTATTATTATAGTTACTATATTAGCATGGCAGGTGACTTAGGACTATATAACAATGTCCACATTGATCAGATCTGATTATATCATGTTAAATTCAGCGCACATTTATTAAGCCAGCTTTGAGGATACAAAGATTAAAAAAAAAAGATACCCCCTGCCCTCAGGAGGTTTATAATCAACCAGTCAGCATTTGCTAAGTGCCTCTGAGGTTCCTTCTCATTCAGGAGGCAGATGGAGAGAGGGGGCTAATAAGTATCAGAGGCTAGTCGGTCAACGAGCATTGTTTCAGCACTGTGCTAACCACTGGGCATACAAAGAAAGCTGAGATTCGAACCCAGGCCTTCCTGACTCCAAGTCTTGAACGTAGTCTGCTCTGTCCCATGGCCCCTCTTTTGCAGGGGACACCTCCAGCAACTGTGTCTACACTGTCATTTGTCATCCAGCCGAGAAGGTCTGTAGGAGAGTCACAGGGCCGCTCCCGGCTTGGCCTTGAGGACGGAGCCGGGCGGGCAGACCCACGCTGCTGAGGCCAGGCCCACCGGGGGAATGTTTTGTTCCCCCTCCCTCCAGGGCCCGTGGGTCCAGGGAACTGAGGACAGCCAACATCCGGAGCTCCCAGATTTCTCCTCCTCGGCCACAGATGGACAGTGTGGCTGATCCTGCACTCCTGACCCCCCCGGCAGACACACTGTGTCCTGGCTAGTGTGGCCAGAGATTATTTTCAAGGTGGAAAATCAGCAAAACTGAATAACAGGGAGACACTTTTTGGCCTCAGAGCGGCAGCCAACTTACTCTCCTCCCCACCCCGCCAACTCTCCATCTACCTCCTGAGTGAGAAGGAGCGTTGGAGAGAAGCCCAGCCCTCTCCTTTTACAGATGGGTAAACTGAGGCCCAGAGAAACAAAGCTACTTGTCCACAGTCGTACAAGTAATATCTGCTTTCATGGGATAAGAGGTCGTCTTACCCAACCCCCTCTTTCTATAGATAAGAAAATTGAGGCCCAGATAGGGGTAGTGACCTCTAGGCCTATGAGATGATAGGCCTAGAGCTGGAAGAGACGTCGGAGGCCGTTGAACCCAATTTACAGATGAAGAAACTGAGGCCCAAGGAGGGGACTTGCTTATAGAGTCAGAGCTGTGATTCAAACCCAGATCTTTAGACTCCAGTTGTCCCCATCGCACCCAGCAACTGCCTTTTTTCCTATCTCTTGTCAGATAAGCCAAGTAGATTTAATTTGATTTAACAAGCATTTATTAAGTGACAGCTAGGTCCCAGACGCTGCCCTACATTCAAGAAATATAGCAGGAGGGGAAGGGAGAGCCCACACTTTTTTGAAGCTCACCTTCTGCCTGGTAGAGGTGGGGAAGCAACGTGTATGTGGAGTGATTTAGGAAGGAGAGAACGCTAACCACTGGGTGAGGTTGGTACAGGTCTCACCTGGGATTTAATCTCCCCGACCAGGGATTTAAAGGGAGCTAGGAACTCTACAGGCCGGGGGGGGTGGTACCTGAGACGTCAGAGGCCTTACTAATTTGGAGCTGGCTATTTTAAAAAAAAACCAGGCCTGTGATTTCATTGGATTCATGCAGCATTCCTGGTGACAAACTCCCTTGGTCCATATAGCCCTCCACCTTCTGACATAGAACAGTGATTGTTAAACTTGATGATCTCAGGATCCCTTTACACTCTCAGAGATTCTTAAGGGCCCTCTTCCAAAGAGTCTTTGTTTATATGGGTCCTATCTGTCAACATTGACCACATTAGAAATGGAAAAAAGTCTTAGTTTTATTATGGAAATAGCTTTGATTTCATGGTCATCCCGGGGGTACCTGTCTTAGAAGAGTCAGCTGGGACCCTGAGAGCCCAGCACTTAGCGCACTGCCTGGCATGTAGTAGGTGCTTAATAAATGTTGATCGATCAATTGATTAATTGATTGAGAGGTCGTGTCTTGGTCAGGGACACGGGCCGTATTCAAACCCACATCTTCCTGGAGGCCAGCCCTCTATCCACCTGGCCTCGCTACCTGTCCCCAACTCTGATCTTGGGGTTGGCCTGGCATGGAGAGCATCTGTCGGCTTTTTTCTCTTTCTGTGCCTAGAGCCTTGCCCGTCATAGCAGCTCCATCAGTGTTGGTGGATGAATTGACCCAGGGATCAAAGTAGCTCCTTATGCGTGGGGAGTCCTGGAGAAAGACCAGAGAGGGCTCCGATATCCATGTCACTCTCCTGTCCTGGGTGGTTCCAACCTTCCTGCTCATCCCCACCGCCCCAACAGTCGTCCCCGTGTTCTTTCCCTTTTCCTCATGAGTTGCTGGGGCTTCACTGACCACCAAGTCCAACCTGTGTCTGAAGAAACCCTTTTACAACGTGCTTAACAAGGGGGTCTGTCAACCTTTGCCTAAAGGCCTTTAATGAGGACTCCAGGGTTAGACAGAGAGTAAGTGACTGAGGCAAGATTCAAACTCATGTCCAGCTTCAGAGTTCTATCCACTGAGACCCCCAGCTGCCTCTTACTGCTGCTGGTTCTGTCCTCTGACACCAGGCAGAACAGGTGTAAACCCTCTGCCCCGGGAGATGCCTGGCAGATACTAGCAGTCAGCTCTGGTGTTCCCCCAAGTCTTCTCTAGCTAGGCACCCCCAGTTCCTACAGCCAGCCCCCTACAGCATGATACATTACTAGCTGTGTGACCCTCAACCAGTCGATTGACCTCCCACTTACCTCGAAGGACTGTTGTGAGCATCAAATGAGATGATATTTGCCTGGCACATAGTAGGCATGATATAAATACTAGCTATCATTGTTACTATGGTTACTTTGAAGCTAAGAGGCAGCCTAGCTTAGTGTTTAGAGCACTGGAGTTTGAGTCAGGAAGACTTGAGTTTGATTCCTACCTTGGACACTGTGTGACCTCAGGCAAGTCACTTAACTGCTGTCTCAGTTTCCAGAATTGCAAAATGGGGATAAATAACAGCACTAAGGTGCCAGGTTTATTGAGCTGTTCAAATGAGATAATATATGTAAAGCACTTAGCACAGAGCCTGACACACAGTCAGTGCTTAATAAATGCTTATTTCTTTCCTTTCTGTTGGACTCTGGGCCAGTCCCTTAACTTCCGTGTCCTTTACGCTTAATTAACTTATCAGTAAAATGGAATAATAATATCTCAAGGGCTGGTGAGGCTCAAACAAGACATGCAAATCTCTTTACTTCTCTCTGTAAATGCCTCACCTTCCCTACTGGGGCTCTAAGCTTTCTGAGAGGCAGGAACCCCGTCTCATTCATCCTTTTTCCTCCCCTAGGCCTGGGCCCCTTAGACAGAATAGACATGGAAATCTTGGCATTCTGGCCTCCAGGAGCGCAGTCAGTCCCTTGGCCCATAAGACGGACACCTGCCGTTTCCTTTTACAAAGACCGTGGATGGAGTTTGGGGGGGGGGTGGGTGGTCATGTCTTTGGCTCCAGCCCCTGACCCAGCAGTTGTGCTCCAGGACTTGACTATGTTCTGCTAACAGGTGTGACGTGAGCTTTGGTTTCTAAAAACAGCAGATGGGATGTGTTATTCATTTCTCCAGTTACTGTGACCCCTGTAGTAATATTTAACTTCTACCCCTCCTCTTCCCCCTCCTCATCTGTTTTCCTTTTCGTCCTTTAGGCAATCCCGAATGCTATACAAGTTGACCGGGTCTCCTAGCAACCTTCTTTAGGAACCTTGCCGGTATTCGATTGGAAAACAGGACAGAAGGCCTGCAATTGATGAGTTTACCTTGGGAGGACGTCGGAAGGTGAAGTCAGACGTTAGCATGGGTCAGAAGGTCACCGGGGGAATAAAGACTGTGGACATGAGGGACCCTACATACCGGCCCCTGAAACAAGAGCTCCAGGGCCTGGATTACTGTAAGCCCACGCGGCTGGACTTGCTGCTGGACATGCCCCCCCGTGTCCTACGACGTCCAGCTGCTCCACTCCTGGAATAATGATGACCGCTCACTCAATGTGTTTGTGAAGGAGGATGACAAACTTATCTTCCACCGGCATCCGGTGGCCCAGAGCACGGACGCCATCCGGGGGAAAGTGGGGTACACGCGTGGGCTTCACGTGTGGCAGATCACGTGGGCCATGCGCCAGCGCGGCACACATGCAGTCGTGGGGGTGGCCACAGCAGATGCCCCCTTGCACTCCGTCGGGTACACGACCCTGGTGGGTAACAACCACGAGTCCTGGGGCTGGGACCTAGGGCGGAACAGATTGTACCATGATGGGAAGAACCAGCCAAGTAAAACCTACCCCGCCTTCCTAGAACCAGACGAGACTTTCATCGTGCCGGATTCTTTCCTGGTGGCCCTCGACATGGATGATGGGACGCTGAGCTTCATTGTCGATGGGCAGTACATGGGCGTGGCCTTTCGGGGACTCAAGGGCAAAAAACTTTACCCAGTAGTTAGTGCTGTCTGGGGCCACTGTGAAATACGAATGCGTTACTTGAATGGACTTGATCGTAAGTATTGACTCGGCTCTTGGAGACCGTGCGCCATCTTTCTCCTTGTGGGAGAAACTCTTCTCCTTGGGAGGGCCAAAACCATAGCTCCCCAGAAGCTGGTGCCCGAGATCCCAGCAGTAAACAGTTCCATATTCCACCTCTGACTGCTCACTATGACCGCCTGTGTGACCGCTGGCCCTCCATTTGTTATCAAGCCCTCTAAGATGAGGTGACTGTGCTGGGTGGCTTCTGAAGTCTCTTTGGGCTGCAGATCTCAATTTATAATCAGTCGGTCACTAGTAAAATGAGGAGGTAGGACCAGGTGGCTTTACATATCTCTTTGGACTTATGAGATTTATGAACCTATGGAGAGCCCAGGATCAGGTGTGAGGAGCCTACAGTCTTGAGGCCACATGTGGCCTTCTCGGTCCTTGGGTGCGGCCTTTTGACTGAGTCCAAGTTTTACGGAACAAATCCTTTTATGAAGGGAATTTGTTCTGTGAAGTTGGATTCGGTCAAAGGGCCGAGCTTGAGGACCTAGAGGGCCACATGTGGCCTGGAGGCTATAGGGTCCTCAGCCCTGGAAGTAGTAGTGAGTGTATAAGAAGAGAGGAAGTAACTCTTTCATATTTTCCTCAAAACTGGAAGCACCCACTGGAGCCCCCTAGACTGCTTTGCAGTGTGGTGTAGTAAACGGTGCTGAATCAGATTCCTGCTACCTGTGTGACCCTGAGAAAGTCACTTGACTTCAGTGCCTCAGCTTCCTCATCTGTAAAATGATGGAGTTGGACTGGATGACTTTTAAGAGAGCTTTCAGCCCCGAGTCATTAATTGGATAGTTCTTCTGGATCCCTCTTCTCCCTCAAATTCTAGAAATTCCAGAATGAAATGACAGGTATTAGAAACATGAGCAAAAGAAGAAGCAAAATTATCCTTATCCGCAGATAGATGCGGTGGTTTAGCCTAGAAAAGCTCCAGAGAATTGGCAGAGACACTAATTAAGACCATTTTTAACTTCAGTAAAAGAAGCAGGATATGAAAAGAATACACAAAATCATCAGCATTTCTCTGCATCCTAACAGAAAGGCAAGGAAACAGAGAAATTCCATGAGGAATAATTGCAAAATGCACAGAATATCTGGGAGTCAGCCTACCAAGGCACACAGGGGATTTATTTAAATGCAACTACAAAACATTCTTTACCGAAATAAAAGGAGGGGTAATGGTGGGTTAGAGGGTCAGTCTGAGAGACAAGAAGACCTGGGGTTCAAGTCATTTTATGAACCTGGGCAAATTACTTAACTTCGCAGTGCCTTAGGCAACTCTCTTCAATTGTTCAATCAACTAATTAATAACCATTTATTAAGCAACTACTATGTGCCAGGTCCTGTGCTAAGCTCTTCAGACTACTAAGTTGCAGAATAGAGGGTCCCGTAGCTGGTAGGCATCTGTGCTGGTGATGGACTTTCTCACTGGGAGTTCCCTTTATCAAAAAAATTGCAGGTCCAGTTCAAAAAGAAAAGAAAGATGTGAAGATTTAAGTAAGTGGAGGAAACATGTCATTGTTCATGGTTGGGCAGAGCTGATATTTTCAACTCATCAGCCACCTCTTTTTTTTTTTTTTTTTGTATCTTAGTAGCCCCATACTGTTGGAAGGTAAGGTTACATCTGTGTCTCACTTAATAATCCAGCCGTGATGGGTGTCCCTTTTATGGTGTATCTCCCTTAGAGTTCCTTCCTAACTCATAATTGGTGTGGTTATCACTGAGGTATAGACAAATTAGTCATTGGGTGGAACCAGCTGAGAGGCCTTCCTTCTTGTCTGGTTGACTTGCTGAACGTGGGTATGTTGGAAATTGATAGTGGACACTCAGCGCTCAAAGAAAAATCTCCAGGGAAAGATAACGCTAGCTGTCTTTGTGTATTTGAAGAGCTATCTGTCACATAGAGGGACCAGGTTAGATTTCTGATTCCCCTCATTTACGATTCTGAAGGCTTATGAAATGTCTTTGGGCAAATGGTCTTTCTAAGATGCACTCACACCTCCTCCCACAAGTAGCACTGATATAGGCATAGAGAGCGGAGATGTGATTTCATTAGTGCAAGGAACTCCTAGGTGAGGAAATACTCTTTTCCCATGCAAGTAATCATTTTCTCTGCATCTTACGTAGAGTTGCCTAGACCTGAGAGGTCAAGTGACTCACCCAGGGTCACGCAGCCACTAAGGTGTCTTAGGTGGGACGGAACCCAGACCTCCCTGGCTTCAAAGCCAGCTCAAGCCTTGCCACCTCCCTCATGTTGATGTAGCTTTTGAAAAACGATTTACGTATATATTATCTCATCTGTGGAGATGATCAGCATTTGTGGGCACGTCAAGGCCATCTTGGCAGCCATGCATTTCTTGGCTTAGGTGACGGTCTAAGCTGCCACCTGACTTCCCAAGGATAGAGACCTGGGCTCGATGAATTAGTGGGCATCTTCTGTGCTTTCCTCCTGGCCATGGTGGTGTATGATCCCCTCCCATGCTTGTCCCACCCAAGGATGGGTGATGGCCAGCAGCGCTGACCTTGGTGGGCTGGGAGCAGGTCCGGGCTGGCGCCTCCGAGTTCTGGCCTCGCTCTCCAGGCCAGACACAGTGGTGCATGCGGTCTCCAACCCGGTCAGAGTTTTGGAGGCTGAATCCAAATATTTGCCCTTGACTTGGGTGTCTTGGCTCTCTTATCATCGTGTTCCACTCTTCCCCTCCCATCACACCCCCAAACTACAGCCTTCGAGAGAGGAAAACAACCTCATGATTGGATGTGGGTTGAACGTGTTGCTGTCATTGTTATTGTTTTAATTTTACTGTGGAAACCTCCTCCCTCCTCCGCCGCCCCCACCCCTCCTGAGCTTTGGCCGGGATAATGAAAACAAGTCCGACCGCCGTGTCTGCGGCTTCCAGAGCAGCTCTGTCTTGACCTGAAACAGCCCCAATGCCCCCAAGTCATGAGATTCTCTTCTGGGCAGAGACGGCCACCCGCTGGGGAACCTGGGTTAGGGAAACCAGTGAGGCAGATGCTGAATAAATGGGCTGTCGCTGTGGTGTATTTCACACCCAGGCCATGCCGCCCTTTGGGGAAGGGAGACGGGTTCGAATCTCAGCATCTTGCCCTGTAAGATGGAGCTTAGACTAGGTGACCTCAGAGGGCCCTGCGAAGGACCCAGCACTGGATTTGAAGTCGGGGAGAACGGGTTGGAATTCCAGCCCGCCACTTAACTTATCCCTGTGTGGTTATAGGCAGATCACTCGAGTAAGTCCTAATAAATCTAGTTAATATTAAATCCTGGGAAATCTAGCACATGCCCCTGTTAAATGAAGGCATTGGAGTAGAGCTAGTCTGCCCCCGTATCTGTGCTCCCTCCCCTTATGTCCTTTGATTGGAGAAAGCGAAAAAAGAGGGGTCCTCTTGACCTCAGAAGCGCCTCAACCCTGATTCTCTGCTGCCCTGTGGCCTGGGTGACTTCAGACAGATCGCATCTTCTATAAAATGAGAGGTCGGACCAGATGGTCCCTTCCCAGGCCGAGCCTCCGATCCTCCTAGTTTACAGGCAGGTGAGCGTGAGGGCAGGAGAAGTTAACGGCCACGAGAGCCCCGTGGGAAACTGGAGTTTTCAGATTTGAAGACCATGGCCGACTGGTGAGGCCTGGTTGCCGTGGGCAGTCCCTGGATCAGCGCAGGAGATAAGGAACTGCTCCTCAGCATCATGCTAAGGCTGGTTTGTGGGTTCGTCCTGTTTTCGTTATTTATCCCCCTGCCGGGTAGGATGTGCCGGTTTCCCACGTGCAGGGACAGCACGGGGCCCAGGACGAGTCAGGATGACCATCAGCGTCAGCGTCCTCCTGGAGGGCAGCATCTCCAGGAGCTGCCGATGACGACTCATGTTTCTGCTGCTGCATATCTGGCCAGTGGAGTCACCACAGCCCAGCTTGGACCTGTGTCAGCCGGGAGGTTGGTGGAGAGTTTAGAAGCCCGGTGACACTTTCCAAAAAGTGGCTGGAATGTCCGTCTCTTGGGTGTTCGCATGGTGGCCTTCCATCTGGCTGGAGCGGCGGAGTGCCGAGGGAAAAGGATTGGGAGTCAGACCTCCTGAGTTCTGCTTGTACTGTTAACGTGACTTTGGTCCAGTCACTCTTCTCTGGGATTCACTTTCCTCACCTACAAAATAAGGGCTGAATTAGATGACCTTTAAGAAGGCCCCTTCCAGCTTTAAATCTTAATCAATTCATTTCAACGATTCATTTCAATTCAATAAGCATTTATTAAGCACCTACTGTATGCCAGGCACTGTAGTGACCATGGCCCAAATGCAGTTCCTACCCTTGAGCCTAAGTAATGGGTTCAAATCCCACTATGCAACCCTGGGCAAGTCTTTTTATCTTTTTCAGCCTCAGTTTCCTCATCTCTAAAATGGGGGATGCTAGCTATTATCACCATTATTATCATCATATTTTCATCATTATTACCATTATCACATATCATGATTATTCTCACGCATTATTATCATAGCTTGCCTCTGACACTCACTAACTGGGTGACCCTTGACAAGTCATTTCCCTCAATTTTATTCATAAAATGGGAATAGTTCTTATGAGAGAGGCGAACTTGAAAGCACTGTCTGACTGGTACTAGTCCACTTCTCATCTGACCCTGCTTTCAAGGAGCTTGACCCCTAGAAGGGAGAAGAGATCTCATGCATCTGTGATAGGAGGTCAGAGGTTCTGGGTTTGAATCCTGATGCTGGTGGTGGTTACTCCCTGTGTGACTGTGGACAAGTCACACTCACTAGGCCTTAGTGTTGTCATCTGTAAAATGAGAGGGTTGGACTGGGTGGTCTGAGGTCCGTGTCCCTCCAGACAGGCATGAATGGTTTATGACCCTCATCATACAGCTAGGTGGAGCAGTGGATGGAGCAGTAGGCCTGGAATTGGGAATATCTGAGTTCAAATCCAGCCTCAGAGAACCCTCTAGCTGGGTGAG